GTAACGATAACGATTTATCCTTAAACGATTTTAAATATTTGTTATTATTCAAAAAGTATAAGTCCTAGATACTTGAAAATTTTACCAGTTATTAGGATTGGCAGTTTCTTTACATGATTTAATTTTCAAAATATTTTGACTTTTTTTTTAAGTGTCGATACAATTTTTTTGGCCCAATCAAAATACTTGAAAATTTAATACAAAGTTCCTCATAAGTTATTCTTAAAGTGATTAAAAAAATATAAGAATACATAGGCACAATTTTTTTTTATTAGCATTTGAAGTTAAAAATTCGTCAAAACCATGAATATTTGCAAATTATTTTGTAGTTCAAAATTCATAAAATATTTTTTTATATGATATTATATTTATAAGGCTTTTAATAATAGTATTTCGTACTGTAGCAATCAGATTTAAATTTGTTACAAACAGTTGTTTTATAAATTAAATTTTAAATTAAAATTTGGACAAAAAGTGATATTTAAACGGAGAATAACGACTTTATGTTTATTTTTATTTAGTTGGTTTTTTTGTTATTTAAAAATATTGTACGAACCATCACGAGGCTTATACAGTGATACAGTAGTGTTGAATCCTTAATATGTAGATTGTAGGTAGATATACCTGTTACAGTATTAGTAGTATTACCCAGTAATGCCGATCACTCATTTATATATATTATAACATAATATGTCATATTGTCATAACTCGTAGTAGATTAGATTTTTTAGATGGTGAGGGGGGCTCACCATAAGATACTGTCGTGTACAGCATCCAGAATATACGTTTAAACTTAAAAATATTAGATTAAACGGAACATTACTTATTTGTAGATGCTTTGATTTGCATCCGATGGTCAAATTATTAAAATAGGGGGGATGATGGRAGCCCCTCGGTGTACGATGTCAGTATATTTTATACTCTTYGGCGCCACTGGTATTATTACTTATCTATATTACGTATAAATCTACGGGTTCCGGGAGTGAATTATTCTCCGGGTCGGAGATAAAGATAAGATAACATACGATTTATAGTCTCATATTTTATATTCACAACTAAGCTATAGATTATAGATTAAACTACATACTGGACGGTGTATACTAGCGTCTAACTGTAGCTGATGACCTTTTTTTTTGCTTATGGGTCCGGGCTGCTTTCTTTCAAAGGTGGCAACCCTAGTTACCAACCAAAATAAAATCTATTAGTTAGGCCGGGGCTATACATGATGGCGTTTTCGACTTGTCTACTTGTCTAATTCAAAACTCATTGTTTTATACTGAAGTAGCTGTACACGACGGATGTAATATCACAGAATATATAATATATTATTAATATATATATTGTTTTTATATAATTATTGGGATTTGGCGGAATACCCTCGGCGGATACGTCTTGTATAATAATATATTAATATAATATACCCAATCGGAAAACGTTGTGTATAGTCCCGGCCTTTAGGCCTGCAAAGGCTTTATCTTTATGTATGGATTAATGGGATCAGTCCTAAGACCTGAGGTCAAGTTCACACATCAGGAGCTCAGTCTTTAGAATTTTGTACCTAAAAAATTGGAATGTCCATCTTCTATGATGACTATATAAACCAAATTAAAAATTAATAGGTATGTTTATTATTGCATTGACAATTTTAAAATAATCAAACATTTTTCTAGTGTATCTATTTATTGAGGGTTTTACTCAGATGAAAATTGAGAAAATAAAAATGTCGGTGTTAGTTCATAGTTAATTAACTAAATAACTAATACTTAATCGTCAATAGTGAATACAGAATAAAATAAAGTATAGGCAAAACAATAATTATTATTTATTTATGTTGGTTTCAAACTATAATAATTATTGTTGAGGAACAGCGTTGCAGCTATGTGTTGATATCAGTCATCAGCTGCTGCGAATCGAACCAATCAAAATGATTGCAAGGACGACCGGAACCCTACTTACTATTCGGCTGTGCGCGAGAGCCGTGAATTCTTATCAGTGTGACAGTGTCCATTCCGCTTTCATATTTGTGATTTCGTTCCGTCGAGATTTTCCATATTCGTCATAAACGTAATATTTTTTTTTCGTCCGCCGATCGGATTTGTGATTGTATTTTCTCATTCATCGTGTTTTGTTACGATTCTATTATATTTCTGTAAATCGCACGCCGGGTCTCCGACTTTAATGAAAATCACGATTCGCGGGCGCTTCTCCGTAAGTTGGGCCGACGGAATTCGCGGTGCCGTAATGTAATCGCGACAGCAATCGAACGATATTCACAGTTCACATTACATAAACGCTGCTGAAATTTTATTAAAAATAAAATAATAATCATCTAACATTGCCCGTTTTCCAATCATGTGCTCAAAATCGTCGCTACTGCTATTACTATGGAGTAGCGCAATGTTAACTTTGGTGCTTCCTGCATTCTGTGAATCTAKTTTTAATACTCCGACCAAAGTTCGGGTCACGGAACCTACAGACTCTGGTAAGTAAATCGTTCGATRTTACACAATCAACAAAACAGTCTATTATTATGAATTGTGCACATCTGTTGTCTATTATTTTTGTTATCCAATGAAGGTCCCTACCTCTACAACTGTATCGTTATGAAAACACTTCTTCATTGTATAAATAGGTGCATATTTATGAAGAGTAATGCCTACAGAATATATACCTAGTAGTCAATCGTTGAAAAATATTGTAAAATTAGTAATTACCAAAGTGTAAAACTGTAAAGGTAGATACCTACTTACATTTTTTTTCTTCCAAATTTCCCTAAACTAAAATAGATACCTWGTTACCTATTAAAGATATATACTAAATACATTTTTATTTTTTATTTTACTTTAATCTGGAATATTAATTTTATGCTCTCTATTTTGTTAATGTAATAATTACAAATTAATATACTTATATTAAATATTTAATTACCTAGATAAGTAATCTGAATATTGTTTAAAATTATAATACTTCTATTATATAAGGTATATGTTTCTTTTGAATTTATTGATAAGTAATAATATTAAATAAGCCTAATCTTCATTGATTTTATTTAGACRCATAGGTGCTTAATTTTAATATATATTAACTGATGTAGAATTATAATATATATAATATCCAAATACCCAATAAGGTAATTGAAATATTGAGATTCATAGATAGTTTGTATTTACCAAGATATTTACTTTGTATAATAATGAGTGCATACCTATCTACCTAATTTACTTTTAAGTTACCTATATAAAATTAATAAAAAAAAGTATCCATTTTTAAAATTATTATTGAAATAATTAATTGGTATTTAAGTTTTGTAACTAGAAATAGGAATTATTAAAATTAAAAAAATAGTCTCATGTATCTATAACCTGTTCCTATTTTATTATATACATGAGATATATAATGATATGTATGTACAATGTTCCAAACACATATTTTTTAATTGAAAAATATTCCTAACTATAAGTTAAATAGTACTTATTATCGAAGTATATGAATTATTTTGACTGGAAATTAAGTTTAAGTATCTAAAAATGTCAATATTGATGTTGGCTCTACTCTCTACTTACGCTTGTATTTRTTTCCAACAATATAAAATATAATGACATAAATATGTCATTGTATCTTGTAATTTATCATTAGATAATTATTTTCTATTAATATAAACTTTTAGGATTGTTTAGACTTTATAGCTTTTAAAATTAGATACTTACCTTACATTTTTTTTGAAACAATTATTTAAGTACTTACATTACCTAACTTATTCTTGAAAAATTATACTTTTTATCATACCTAATGTAAAAAGTGCAAAATATTCCTGTGTTTGGATAGTTAACTATTTATTATGAATTATGATATTTTTTTTTTTTTTTTTATTTATGATATTTACTCTTTACTATTAAGGTTTAATTNTTTAATTCAAGAATAATGTTTATTTAGGATTGCTAAGTAAGTAGTTATTTAAGATTAGTAATGAGTGTAATTTAATGTGTTTACTTGTATATTTCTTAATTTCAATGAATTTTACATTCAATTTTGTTTCTTGATACCTACTACCTACATATTATGGTATAYATTTTTATTTATTATAAATTTGTATTTTAAGGCGGTGTTAATGATTCATGTAATGATGATATTGCTTGTTTGACAATGGCTACTCAAGACAGGTTGGGTTTAGATGCAATTCGATCTTTACATCGACAACTAGATGATGACGCAGATGGTGCTATTGATCTTTCAGAATCTGATGATGTAAGTTTATTTAAAATAAARAATTACTTTCAGTAATACTTTACAAATAAAATATTTAGGTATAAATTGTCATTAGTAACAATTACATAAACATTAAACTATGATTTCAAATATTGAGTCACTTTACTTATATGCGTAATTTTAAGTTGAATTGTTTCTAATTGAAATTAAGGTGATGACTATACCCTAGTACGCTGTCATATTGTATGAAATTAAAGACAGTGGGCAAATCGCCAGATAGGTGTWACAGATGTCACATTAGTGAGCTTTTAGTAATAATTGATTTTTTAAAGACGCAGTTGATATCTAAACATATTATATATACCTCTTATTGGAGCAGAGCCCTGCATTTTTGTGTATATTTTTAATAATAATGTTTACAACAGTCAATKTTCTTGAGTATGCTGATTATTATTTACTATAATAATAAATAAGTTATGATATCCAAACACCTTTTCAAAATGTGAAAAATGAAAATTTTTTGTAGGTACCACTTTCAAGATAATATAATATATAAATAAAAACAGTGGGAGATTTTAAAATCATGATATAGTATATCTGAATAATATATTTGTATGTTTCAAGAATATTAAAAAAAAATTGAATTATATATCTATATAATTATTAATTTGGATTGTATTTGTATATCTACTATTAGATATACTCAGTGCCGTAGACATAATTTCTGAAATGGAAAGGGGATCAAAATAAAAAAATCACATATCTAAATAGGAGAAAAAAATTGGAACATTCCCCACCCATAAGATCATTTAGTAAGATGTAAATATGTTCGCCTATTTCTTAATTATTAAATATGAAGACTCAGCCTATGGTGTGTACCTTACCTAGGTATTGCAAATGTTAATATATAAAATATATATATATAAAATCATACATTGGCTTGACATTTTTACAGTTGATTGAAAATATTGTGATCTATTATAGTTATAAGGTATGGTAGTTTCATTATAAAGATCAAAGACGTTGTAGTCACTAAGTGAACGGCTGGAGTTTCACAAATCATGTAGAATCACTCGGCAATTATGCAAATTTCACTTTTATAAATTTATTTAAAATCGTAGAACAATGCTATCTACTTGATTCCTTAGCACTTTGATTTGGAATGTTGTCAGTTATCAGCACAGTTATCTGACAGTTTTATGTTTAACACTTGAGAAGCCCGTAGTACAATAGAWGGYGGCTAGAGTTTGATTAAGTACAAAGAATCACTCTGCATTTATTGGAAATTTTTTGCTTAGAAATTGATTTAAAATGTAACAATATTGTGCGATCGTTTTTAAACTTGCACCATTAGATTACACATGTTCCTGGCTACCATCCTTGATAGTTTCATGTATAAAGATAAAAAAAAACCCTGTCATCAAATGAAATTTGGAAGATTATCCACTAAATTACTCCATAAGTCAAAACATTGAACTAAACCCATAGCAATAGTGTTCTCATATTCACATAACTTAATGAACAGTAACAATGATAATATCCAATAACATTTTAAAGCCAGACATACAGTGGAAGCATTGCCCATTTAGACAAGCCTACATACTTATATTATATAGTATTGTCTCTATAAATAATAAGATAAGCTATAATAAAGTATGATCATAGTTGTCATCAACCTTTTCAACCAAATAAACATTACTTTACTACAAATAAATGAAAATTATAATGGTATTTAGTATCAACAAAATTGTCAACATTTGATAACTCGATAGATCATAATATATGACAAATTATTACATTATAGTGTATTCAACTTAATGTAAGCAGAAACAAAAAAAAACCAACAGGAGAGGATCTGACCTTCACGTCCCCCCTTGTGTACGCCACTGGGTATGCTTAGGTAGTGTGACCATAATTTTCTTGACCAATATAGGGGTACATTTTCTAAAAAAWTTGAAGAATTACTGATAATATGAAATAACTAAATGCATACTACTTAATAACTTTGTTAATTAGTTTTACTTATATACCTATTATATTAATGTTTAATAGTAATATTAAATTTGAATACTAATGTTTATATCATATTTATGTAGAAGTTGTTAAGTAATTATAAGCTATTTTAAAATAGAATTGATTATTGATTAATGATTGTCGAGATGATCATTGTCCATATTCCTCTATGGTATAAATTTATAAATAAAAATAATAGATCATACATTTTAAAATAAAAAGTGAGACATTATATCCTCCCTTTTTACTGGTCACTGTAGCATATCCAACATTTTTTTTTTTTGGGGGGGGGAGGAGGTTAGGTTGAAAATATGTTTAGCAAATATTATCTGAAAATAATTTATTAATGAAAATTTTGTTCTTGTTTAACAATTTTTTTTTTTTTTTTTGAGGAGATAGTTTTATTTT